CTTAATTTCTAAAATATCACGTTGATCAACCGGAACGGTGTAAAGTCAGGTGAAAAGACGGAAATCATATATATATTGGGGATAGAGAAATATATTAATTTTGACATTGCTCAGCTATACTCGAGAACATATTTGAGCAATTTTAATACAAAAATATTAATACTCTGACCGACATATTCGATACAACTGGTTAGAATAACGAAAAGCATTAAGTAGTATATGTAATTTGAGGGTAGTATTACCGATTTTATTATTTTTCCAATACCACTACTTATGCCACAGACTAAAAATGCTCCCACTGTTTCAGGTACCTCACATACCATCACCAATCAAATGGAGTAAGGTCAGACGTATGTTGCAATCCTGATATTAGTTACATGGGGTAAGGGAAATTTTCACCCGATTTGATCTTGTATGAGTAAAACACGTCTCTCATTTTCATTGAGATTACTCACATATGTGGTATAAAGTCACGCGAAGTCAATTGTTATGTTAGATATAATGAGGGCTACAAGAACTATTGATCGCTTCAACCCATTTTGAAACAAAGACATACTATTATTGATAGTTTTATTTATTTATTCATATGAATTTCAATTAATATTTACACAATGGCCGATATTTACGGTAAAAAGTCAACTATAGGCACATATGCAATCTAGGGGCTTGAACAGTTTTGGTTCATTTGGAGAATTTTCGGTCACAAGGTGGCATACTTTAAACGTATATTCACGCAAAGTTTTACGCCGATATAGTCATTGTTGCTGTCTTTGCATGTGGAAAGTGAAAGAATCGTGATGAATTGAAAATGGTGTTACATGGGAAGCGTGGTTGTAGTCCGATTCCATTTTCGCACTATCACATAGAAACATGAAAAGAATGTTTATGACCAATTTGGTTGAAATCGGGTTGATCGCAAGAAATGGGTTTCACCTACAAGTGGGCGGTGTCACGCAGACTGTCTAATTTTAAACGCCGTTATAAAGTCATCTCATACCATCCCGAGATAAAATTTAATGTCTCTGGGGTGTTTGGTTGATCTATCGCGCTTTTAGCAGCTTTTGACAAATGTTACTGGGAGTGAGCGGTTTTCACCCGATTTCACCCATTTTCACACCGTAGGTAGAGGTGCTAAAACATTTGCTTCCAGTGAATTTTGTTATTACAGCTTTAGTATGAAGATATTCATTAAACCTATTAGAGGGGACCACGCCCACTCGTGGACCAAACAATAGTCTGTATGTTATTCCGGAGCTTAGTTATGAAATTTATTTGTTATACTCTCGCAACCTGTTGCAGAGATAATAGTTTTGTTCACCTAACGGTTGTTTGTATCACCTAAAACTAATCGAGTTAGATATAGGCTTATATATTATAAAATCAGGATGAGAGACAATTGAAATGGGGTGATTGCCTGTCCGTCCGTCTTCTGTCCGTCCCGCAGCAACTTGAGTAAAAATTGAGATATCTTGAAACTTGGTAGACATTTTTGGTACCGTGAGACGGTTGAAGGTATACATGGACCACTGCCACGCCCACAAAAATTAATCAAAAACAAATAAATTGCCAAACTAAGCTCCGCAATAAGCAAGACTGTTATTTGGACACAGGATCAATTAAGGAGGGGCTGCAGTTAAAATTTTTATAAAGGCGTGGTCCGCCTTTTTTTTTTTTAAGTAGGGGAAGCATCGAAAGCGAAGTGCGGAATTTAATCCGCTAAACTTTACCTATTCCCACCGATATTCCTCCGGAACCACCTGATTGTTAATTCGTGGTCCCGCCTCTAATAGGTTTAATGTGCATATTCCTAAACCAATGCTACATAATAATACACTAGCAAATGTTTTAGCATTTGCTACGGTACGGCGGCAGCAACACCGCCCGCTCCCTAATACGGTACCATGTAAAAACTACTAAAAGCGCGATAATTGTCCAAACACGCCAGAGATAAATTTTATCTCTGGGATGGTGAGATGACTTTAGGAACCGCGTTCAAGTTAACAGTGGGCGTGACACAGCCACTTTTAGATGAAAACTCGGTGCATAACGTTCTTTTCATATTTCGTAGATAGTGCGAAAAGGGGCGAACTATGACACAACCACGCCATTCCCATATAACAAATTTTCATTCATCTGATTCTTTCACTTTCATGACCACTCAAGCAACGATGATTATATCGGGGTAAAACTTTGCGTGAATAATACGTTTAAAGATGCCACATTGACCGTATGTCTAAATCGAACCAAAACTGTTCAAGACCCTAAGTACTAAATGTGGACCCTACTATAGTTGACCTTGTACGAAATAACATCACACCCACAAAGAACTCTCAAACGAGTATACCATTTGACTTTGCGAGAGTATAAAATGTTCGGTTACATCCGAACTTAGCCCTTCCATTTACGTTCTTGATTAATGGCGTTTTGTGGGCGTGGCAGTGGTCCGATTACGCCCATCTAATACCAACCGTCTTACTGTACCAAGAAACATGTACTAAGTTATGAAGACCAGCTTATCGCTTGCACGACGGGATGAGTATCTCGTTTTGATTATATTTAGTAGAGAACAATGTGCCAGAATAAAACTATTATACTCTCGCAACCTGTTGCTACAGAGTATAATAGTTTTGTTCACCTAACGGTTGTTTGTATCACCTAAAACTAATCGAGTTAGATATAGGGTTATATATATAATATATAAATGATCAGGATGAAGAGACGAGTTAAAATCCGGGTGACTGTCTGTCCGTCCGTCCGTCTGTCCGTCCGTGCAAGCTATAACTTGAGTAAAAATTGAGATATATTATACTCTGTAGCAACAGGTTGCGAGAGTATAAAAATTGTAATACGCAGGTATTTTACCAACTGCGGTTATGTTAATATACTCGGGTATAATTATATATTGTATTTAAATATATAAAGGAATGTTTAGTTATAAGATTTATCGGTAAAGGCAATTTGCATATTGTTTGCCGATTAAATGTATATGTATGTATGTTTGTATTTTTGTCCTTTTGCTGTAGATTCTAGCTTTAATTGTTAATGCGCCTTTAGCTTACTTAGTGTTATGCAGTCCTGCTTATTGTTTTATTATGTCTATGGGGTACTGCCGGAAATTCTTTGCAAGTAAATACTTGAATTTCTATTTTTATTTTGTGGTTGTTGTGTATATATAAATAAACAAATTTAAGCGCATAAGTTGAGGCAAGCAATAATTTGTTAATATAATATATATATTATATATATACATATACAATATATGTAAATATAAGTATATATGTATATAAGTATATTCACCCGATTTTTTTTTGTAAATCGGTTTTTTATAATTTCCGTTAACGTTAGGAAAACTATAAGTATATAGTCCTCAAATTGTCAGTTCCTTTTTTTTATATATTTTCCCTTAACGTTTCCTGTATTCGTTTTTTCAACCTGTTAAAACGGATTTTCCTAGTTTTAACAGTATATAGGATTTACAAACATACATATATAATAAAAAAAAAATGAAAACGATGCACTTACTTTGTCTCGCTTCAAGGGGGTTGTGGGGAGAATGTATGTGAGTGTTTTTGAGGGTTTTCCCTTTTTTTCCTGAACGCCAGCTGTTACGCTGCCTGTTGTGCAGCTACCTGTCTGTGTTTTAGCTGCTATATAGGTATATATTTTTGTTGTTAATCCGATTGTTGTTGTCCGATTTTAATTATTATTGTTTTTTGTGATCCGCGCCGGTTTTGATTTTTGTTTTGTTTTTGGTTTCGTGCCCGTTTGTTTTTGTGTTTAAGTACTTTTGATTTTATGTGTTTTGGCACATTAAACTGTTTTGCCGCTTTTTCACTTTTATGTCATATCCTCTAATTTATGCATATGTACGTATGTATGTATATATATGTTCATATACTTGTCTTTATATGGTACAGTGCACTCTTTTTTGTTTGCTCTTTGTTTCAATAAATGCACCGTTTTGGTTGTTTTTTCACTTTTTGTTCATTTTTTGGCACAATATTTTTTGTTCAATTTACAATTTTTTTGTTCACGTTATTATTTTAATACTTTTGATTTTTGTTTAATAACTCATAGTGCCGTCCACTAGGGCTCGAAGGCCCATAAGTAACCAAGTACGAAATTAGTTTTAATTTCGCTCACCGTTCGTAAAATCAGTTGATAAAGAACAAAAAAAAACGAAGTGAATTTAGGTGGGTGCTCCAACCGAAAGATGTGATCGTAAGCGAATCGAATGCTAAAAAGAAGCGTACGGGATCCTTTTTTTCCCCTTATATATCTATTGATGTCTTCATTTCATGTGATCTTGGTGATGTTGAATTTGTGTGCGTGTTGGTGAATGGTGTGGTGATGTGGATGTGAATTGATGTGGTGAATGTGGTGTGGCAGTGTCTTATGTTGAGGGGGGACTGAGTGGTCATTTAGCCAGCTTTGAAACAACAGTGCTTGGAAAGAAAATTGTCATGCATGATATTGCATTTGCTGCTCTCAGTACTTACATGAATTGAATTGCTTGTTCAGAACAAAACATTGCAACAAACAAACGAATGACTTGCAGTGCGCTGTAAGTCGACTTGTGCAGCTGTTTAATGTCTATATATTTGTTTAAAAACAATTAATAGACAGCTGCTTTCTAGTTTATAAGTTTCTTTAAGATTTAAAACATGTATAAGTGTCGGTCTTTGGACAAATAGGCTTCGACAATATTTTATTTTTACTTTTCATAGTTAACTTGAAATAAAAAAAAAAAAACATTCACACTCTATTGAATAAAACAAAATCAATTGCGTAGTACATACGCCAATTTCCGGAAATCCATAGGAGCCATAATTTTGTTATAAATAACTCTATATCTATTCAAAATGTCTCAAGTTGCGAAGGTATAAGAGTCAATATATCGTATATACATACATATATGTACAGTAGGTAAAAAATGTGAATTTTAGGTGCAATGGTAATAAACATTTATTTTTTTTTAATTCACATTTTTAATTTTTCAGCATTGGAACTCGTGGGAGAAAATTATAGATCGTTTGTGACTGTAATGACTTGTACTTTTTATACAACAGGCATTATGTTATTGTCATTAATTACTTACATGGAACGCGATTGGGTGAAACTTTCTTTGTACACTTCCGTACCGTTTACTTTATATTTTTTATACATTTTTATAATGCCGGAATCACCTCGATGGTTATTAATGCGGGGTCGTTTAGAAGAAGCACTTAAAGTCTTAGAAAACATGGCAAAAATAAACGGCAGAAAACTACCAAACAAAATTAAAACTAATTTGGAAGCGAAAATAGCTCAAAAAAAAGATTCGAATAAGAATACCGTCAATGTGGGAGTAATTGACTTATTCAGGTAATTTCTTAATAAATATAATAAATAATAATTACAATAACAACCGTCATTAATATTTTTGTGTTTATAATGGACAGCATGTATGTACTTACAATACATGACGTTTTGTGAACATTTTGAAGTGGATTTACAGATTGATAAAGTTTATACATATAACTTACTATAGTGTTATATATAATATATCGAAATGATAAAATGAAAAGGGCAAATTTATTTCCTGATGTTTCTCTACATGTCCCTTAGTTTTGCTAATGAGCGGAAACGAATTATGGCCCCACCCACAAAATGACGTTATTTTGAATAACAAAATGAGCTATAACGCAGCCGCTATTTAAGCCACAATAACCAAATATGGCTTCACAGACGGGAAAACGTATGGTGTATAGTAAAATTCCATATATTATTTCCGTTTACAACCCAAAAATTAAACCATGTATTATATTATATTTTGCGTTGTACGTGTCCGCGGTTGGGCTGCAAGAGTTTCGCTACCTCTGCTGCTCGCCTTGTCGTATATGGAATTATGATTGAATAAGTTTGTAGTGATAAGTTTAAGTATAATAATAATAATAATAATAAAATAAATTTGCAATTGTAGTTATAAAATATAAATACTTTATATACCGCACCGCAATGATTCCACGTATGCATGCATGGGAGATGTACGTGACGGCGCTGACGTCTGTAAAACTGCGCATAACCAGGACAATCTCACTGCGTCGTTAATTCTAATAAAAAAAAGCTCGCGTCCATTTCAATCAAATAGCCATAAATCAGAAAACAAAAATACATTGTAAAAAAATTGTGAGCATAACAACAACAAGAGTGTCTTAAGCAACATTGGCACAACAAACGCAAAGCAAAATGTAGTACAAAACAATGCAAAGCGAGGAGAAGCGCGTCCGCCTTCTACCGAAACGAAGTTGACGTCGCCGACAACGCTGCTTCTGTCTCGCTCGTGCTATGCTGTGCTTAAGTTGTCTCTTTTTGTTGCTGTAAATAATTTTTTACTACAACTTCGCAATAGCTATGCTGCAATCTCTGTTGCCTCTGCCTTTTCGTTGGTCGCTATTTTGTTGTTGCTATTTTTTTATATTTCATTTGCGAGTTTCGTGTTGTGTTTTTTATTTTTTTCTATACTATACTATATTATCCAAAACTAAAATGCCACGCCGCGCAAATAAATTTTTACTGTACAATAATATGTGCGAACACGCTGCGCAAAATCTGACCGTGAAAATATTTTAATTATGTTTGGTATCTTATTAACTTATAATACAGATCGCAGACTCACTTACTCTCAAGTTAGATGATGTGATATAAACTTAATCATAGAGGCTAAATTTAATATATTGGGCATATAAAAAAAATTTCTGATTTAAAACAATAATAAATCCAATATAATACGTTCACTAAATTTTTCCAAGATAAATATATCCCATATTGACCGATATATACGTTATAAAGGACGCCAGAAGTTTGAAATTCTTGTATTTGGTATATGGGGATAAAGGATTTTATCCATTTTTGATATTACGATATATTATTACCAGGAAAAGATGCTATATGAGTTTCATTAAGAAACATAAGCCGATTTTTTTATTTTTTAGACTTGCAATATCTGGGCAAAGTTTTACTCCGATACATTCATTCGTACTTGATTTATATATTGTAAAGTGTAAAAGTGGATCATATGGAATTAAAAATTGTTGTATATAGGAAGTAGTAATATAGGAATGTCAGGATAATCTTATTTACATATTTTAGTTGATATCGGTTAAGTAGGGTCTGAGATATAGGATTTCATTTTAGTATGCCACGTTATGACCAAAAGTTGTTCAAATCAAACCAAAACTGTTCAAGGCCCTAGGTACCGAATATTTAGACAGCAATGAATATAGTTGACTTTTTTACCGAAAATAGCGGCCAATGTGCAAAATATATAATGACTTTCAAAGAGAATACCTGATAATACTACTACTACTCTAAATGTCAAAAATTGGTTGAATCGGGTAAATATTTCACTTCGCCCATATACCTAATACAAAGATTTTCAACTTCCGGGTGACTTTATACCGCATATATCGGCCAATATGATAAAATTGGACTAAAACTTGACCCCTGCCCCATATATCTAATATCAAAATTTTCAAACAATCGGCTGACTTTATTACATATAATTGGTGATGGTATGTGAGGTACTTTAATGAAACCCTGACAGCATTTTATTAGTCTGTGGTATGATGTAAAAATTGGGTCAATACTACCCCCAAATCCCATCTACATACTACTTATTTATAAATATTTTCGTTATTATAACAAGTTTTATGCCAATCAGTGAGTATAAATTATATATTATATAAAATTACTTGAAACTGAGTTCGCGAGTATACCTGAGCAATGTCAAAATCAATCCCGTCTCGTTATATTATATAACATATCCCTAATATAAACCCTAAAATTATTTCCATTATATCAACTCAATATAGGTCTTATATAATAAATTCTGCCTCTTCGGTCGAGTTAATATCACATACATACAAGTATATATGTTTCATATCATTTTCAGATATTTTTAATATATAATATTATGGTTTAGCTGACACGAACTAAAATATAGCAATAAAACTAAGTCTAAGTTAATTACCCTCAATATAAATCAAAAAGATACCAAATTTGATTGCGATTTATTCACGATTTCATCTAATAATAGATCTTTAATTATTTCGCAACATTTTTATACTCTCGCAACCTGTTGCTACAGAGTATAATAGTTTTGTTCACCTAACGGTTGTTTGTATCACCTAAAACTAATCGAGTTAGATATAGGGTTATATATATAATATATAAATGATCAGGATGAAGAGGCGAGTTGAAATCCGGGTGACTGTCTGTCCGTCCGTCCGTGAAAGCTCTAACTTGAGTAAAAATTGAGATATCTTTATGAAACTTGGTAGACATGTTTTTTGGTATCGTGAGACGGTTGGTATTGCAGATGGGCGTAATCGGACCACTTCCACGCCCACAAAACGCCATTATTCAAAAACAAATAAATTGCCATAACTAAGCTCCACAACAAGATACAAGACTCTTATTTGGTATACAGGATCACAATAGGGAGGGGCATCTGCAGTTTTTAAAGTAGGCGTGGAAGCAAATATTTTTAGAACCTCTACCTACAATGTGAAAATGAGTGAAATCGATTGGCAACTCCGCCCACTCCCCATATGACGGTACTGTTAAAAACTACTAAAAGCGCGATAAATCAAGCACTAAGCACGCCAGAGACATCAAATTTTATCTCTGGGATGGTATGAGATGACTTTATAGGAACCGCGTTTAAAATTAGACAGTCTGCGTGACACCGCCCACTTGTAGGTGAAAACCCATATCTTGCGATCTTTTTAACCGATTTCAACCAAATTCGGTGCATAACGTTCTTTTCATATTTCAATGTTATAGTGCGAAAAGGGGCGAACTATGACTACAACCACGCCTATTTCCCATATAACACCATTTTCAATTCCATCTGATTCTTTCACTTTCTACTATGCATATCAAGCAACAATGATTGTATTGGGGTAAAACTTTGCGCGAATAATGCGTTTAATGTATGCCACCTTGTGACCAAAAATTGTCTAAATCGAACCAAAACTGTTCAAGCCCCTAAATACTGAATATATGGACCCCAGTGCCTATAGTTGACCTTCTACCGAAAATATCAGTCAACCCACAAAGAAATCGCAAACGAGTAGCCCTTCCTTACATGTTTAATATAAAGTTTGGCCAGCACTTAAAGGAATTTGCCGGGCTTTCATTCTTAACATACAAGTTGCAAGAGTATAAAATGTTCGCTTGCACCCGAACTTAGCCCTTACTTAAATTTTTCCTTGTTATTTATTTGTTTACAAGTATAAGTATAACTATATATTTTTAATACCAAGTGCCGACAGACGCTTAATCACGAGATTTTAGCTGTAAAGTATATTATCTCACTAGATTAAGCAAAATTTCGCCATACAAAACTGACACTTGTTTACCTTATTATCTCTTAGCGCCATCCGTTTGTCAGTAGGGAAATCCGTCACATTATCACAGTTGATTTAGACACTACAAAGAGAAAAAAGATGTTAACAAATAAATAAATTAAAAACAAGCAAATAAAAAAAGTAAAATTCACCTGGCAATCAACTTACCAAATCAAAAAATGCGTTAATTTCAATTAAATGGAAAATATTCAAAAGAAGACGACTTTTATAACAAAATACGACATTACTATGTATTCTTTTAATAAACATTAAACGGCATGATTTTTTTAATCTAAAAGACCGCTGTTTCATAAATCTCCAAAGGCAGTTTGGACAGTCTAAATTAGTCAACAGATTTAATGTAATATAATCACTTCAAGATTTTTGTTGGTCATGCAAAACATAAAAATAAACATGTTTTAGTAGTGTTATTCTACAACATTCGTCAAGTGATTTTAAATATAAATGAATAGGCAAATCTCAGCATTCGCGAGTGCATTTCTTGCACTCATTTGCATGCTCGGATAACTATAAAACCTAATTACCTAATTTTGTGAAGAAATTTGTGAATTTTTATAAAATTTGGAGGGATTTCCAAAAAAGAACACAAAAAACCCAAGACCGCAGCGACAAGTGTTGTCAGAAACTTCGACAATTTGCTGCACTTAATAAAAACAAATGAGGACACGCCTCAGTAGCGGCGCAAGAGATGTGTCACTAAATTATGAAATACACCATTCATGTTCTTGAAGATAAAACTCGAAAATTTAACGTCGACCTCCAGGTACCATGGACCAAGCCAAGTGGATGGGGAGAGCTCAACTGAAATCGAATGTGACATCCTACGTTTAGCCATAGTTCCAATGAATTTTGGCTGTAAAAGCACCTTACTAGGATTTGTGCTTTTTGAAGTCGATGAACACTTATGAAAAAATCGATACACAGGTCTCGAAAGATACTTTACAGAAATTA